TTGTGCCGCCACCGCGAGCGGTGTTGTATCGTCCGGGAAATCGGGGCTATGAGTGACACCGGCGTATTCGAGACCCGGTGTCAATTCATTCAGCTTATTCAATATCAGCACAGCGATCCTCACTTGATTATCTCTGATTGCATGTAGATGCGTATCGCCCGGATCGATATCTGGATGAGACAACAGATACTCAACCATCGCCGTATTTCTGTCGTTAACAGCAATGTGCAGCGCACTCACACCCTGAAAATGAGGCATTTAATTAAGGCTCCTGAGTACTCAACATCCACATTGAATCGTGACGTCATAAACGAGAAATGTCATAAGCGACATGTTGATTTTTTTACATCCATTTATAAATAAAGACAATTTGAATAAAACGAAATCATGAGAACTGCTGTAAAACACTTGTAAAAATAGACCGAGACTATTATTATCCCCTTTGATAGTTAGTAAACAATTGTAAAAGGCACGTAAAGTGCATTTATTAGTTTTTACTCAATACGCATGCGTAGCCTAGTTTTACTTCACGACTTTTTCGACTATTTACCTACAGACTGTCAGTCAGTAAATGTAAGTCAGATGGGATAAGGATGGTCTCGACCTATTTTTATAAGTACTTTACAACGTTCTCATTCCGTTTTTATTCCATTTTGTCCAAATTGTCTTTCTTTACAAATGGCAAGAAAAATTAACGTGTCATTTTTCATTTACGACGTCGGGATTCAATATGGCTGAGTACTCAAGAGCCTTAATTTTATGAACTGACGAAGGAAGTTTGCTTATTCATAAATTAGAAAAGAAAATTGAGAATAAAGAGAAATAAAGCGAAACACAATGAATGATTCTCCACAACTATTTTTTTCTTTCCGTTTCTATTGTCCCGCTACTTATATAATTGTCGATAATCGAAGTAGCGGAAATAACGATTTGCATAAGAAAACGCAAAGCGGTATGCCGTAATGGTTGAATGACCGAAAAATTTCTGGACTTTCTCGAAATTCTTTCTTGCCACGGTCTCTTCCTGTAGTGAGATCGACTTTTAGAAGGCTATCAGCTCTTTTTCTCGGTTGTGTCCCTTTTTGTAGGAAGAATGGCTCGACGACGTTTCTCGCCCATCTGCGGTGCGTTTACAGAGGCGGATCCCAACAATGGGCCAGCAGTGCCAGCACCATTGTTGTCGCCGACACCAGTCACAATAATATTCACTGATATTTTGGCTTTTCGACAGGCCCCTGGGAACATCCATGTACATCCACACGCTTAACGACAATAACAGATCGTGATATATGTTCACCAAAAAGTTCTTGTTAGCTGTCCCTTAACAATAGACAGCTGCCGCCTTTAACGCATGACTCGGCCAGATTTTACGCCCTGCTAAATATTTGTTTGTCATTTGTTTTTGCGATTTTTCTTTTATAAAGGATAAATCATAAGCAAAAACACTTGGTAGCACGATTGAGGTGTGTTTTATTGGTTTAACGTGTGATAATCCTTTTATGGATGCTTTAACTTTATACTTTTTTTATACGTTATGTTTCTATTTTATTAAAAAAAAAAAATAGTTTAAAGGGACTTAAATGTCCTATCAGAGAATAATGGGACAAATTGGCGAAATTCGCGAAGTTTGTTGATGTATCATAGATCACGCCAAGGCACACAAGTAGAGCTTCCGATGTCAAAAGGATTCCCATACAAAATTTATAGTGGGGCGAGTCATTTGAATAATTTTTATCAGGTCTCAGTTGAAACCATTGTCTTGTAAAAAGACGGTCTGAAATATAGCTGAAGATACATGGAGAACACCCAGCTTCCTCTTCTCTGTGTATTTCTCTCTTTTTCCCATCAAGTTCCCTCTTCTATCTTTCTCTCTCTTCCCGTTCTCTTTCTCTCCTCTCCTTCCATTCGCGTGCCGTCTCTCTTCGTGCCGCTTCGGCATTTCGGTCTTAAAGTCAAACGAGAGTTTGGTCGCTTTTCTGGAACCCTCTCAAAGAGACAGAGAGAGAGAGAGAGAGAGAGAGAGAGAGAGAGAGAGAGAGAGAGAGAGAGAAGCACACTGAGATGGTTACCGTGCTGACCGAATGGATGGAGGAAACATTCCACGGGGGGTACGTGTTCCTCTATAGGGTAAAGATCTGAGATAACTGGACTTCGTATCGCCTTCATTCTCTTCGTTTTGTCTCCCTTCTTCCTGTATTGGTTCCGCCGTTTCTTGTACGGAGTAAACCACACGAGTTTGTAAAAGACTTTAAAACTGTTGGATTCGCTCTTTAAGATATATAAATAAATATTTTTAGATTATATAAAAAATTTTATATTATATATATATATTATATTATATTATATATATATTTTATGTTATTAGTTGATCCGTTTAATTTAAATATGTTTTTCGTGTAACATTGAGGATGACCCGATCGGGTTCGAAACGATGTTTGTTATTAATTTGTTTTAGTTTCCGATAATTAAATTTATTTCTTTTATTTTACATTTTAATGCTGTTTTTTTAGTTCATAGCCTTTCGTAACACATTTTTATAACTTTATTATTGAACCATATAAAACGATGGATTTTTATTCACGCGGGCTATATGCGTCATTATACTCTCCGGTTTTCACCTTTTCTCATATTAGAAATTATTACGGCCTGAATGCTTGCAATATATGCAAAAGATTGTGTAATTTTGTCAAGCTTAGCGTTAATATTAGAATGCGTATTAAGTTTATTAAATATTGTCTCAGACATGATTTGTGTGGAATACATTGCGCACTATGATATCGAATAAGGAGCTTGGTTTAACATTTGAAATATATACGCTATATTATTGCGAATGTAATATTAGGATAATAATGACAGGATGTGAATTTGCTGCTGACATTTAAATTGACCTGTTTATACCAGATGTTTTTGTGGTTTTGTATTTTGTCATATTAGTTGAACTGTTTTATTCAAATATGTTATTAGTTGATCCGTTTAATTTAAATATGTTTTTCGTGTAACATCGAGGATGACCCGATCGGGCTCGAAACAACATTTGTTATTAATTTGTTTTAGTTTCCGATAATTAAATTTGTTTCTTTTATTTTACATGTTGATGCTATTTTTTTGGTTCATAGCTTTTCGTAATACATTTTTATAATTTTATTATTGAACCATATGAAATGATGGATTTATATATATAAAACTTCGAAAGTTTTAATAAAAATTAATGTTTTTAAATAAAAAATTATGCATTAATATTTTTCACACGTAAATTACTATTAGAGTATAGATGATAAACTAATTCATTATTTGTACTGTAAGCCATTTTTCTTGATTCTCTTTTTGCTGAGCATTAAAGAACAAGTAAAACGGTAGAACAGTAGACCATTTTAAATTGCATTAGGCGATCTTAAAGAAAAGATTTAAAGATGACAAAGGTAACCTGAACATCGACAAACCTGTGAAAAACCTATCTCCCTTTGACGCACAGTGTCTTTTCGGTGAACCCTAACAAGTAACGGTATCGTTTAAATCATGGAGTCAGTGACAAAAAAGGTAAATTTGGAAATCTTTATGAGCTGTTCAAGAGTTTGGTTTGAAGCCGCCATTCGTATAGCTTCAGGGTAGTCCAACAAATCAAATAGAAAATAGACGGAGTCTGATGGCTAATAATTTATGGAAAACTCATTCCGTCATGGTATAATTTAACATTTTGGATCGCCAATGGTATTTGCCAATAATAACGGTATTTACTTGTTTTATTTCCTTTTTTGTTTTGCAAATATTTGCAACCATTGTTGATAATTTTAGTGGTTAATTGCAAATCAAGAAATAACTTCATAGACTTTTCATTCCATACAAATGTATTTTCTCAATTTACTCAATAATCCATAACCTTTATACAGTAATCTTTTTTTGATATTAATATTTTATACTTCTTCAAATTTGGAAAATTACAAATTCATATACTTACTTGAAAATTGATGGCATTTATATTGAAATCCGGATGTTGCTCCAAGAATAATCGAGCTTCAGTAACACTTCCGTCGTCGACAATTTCGAAGAACCTTTTCTCAAGTTCTTGCAAATGCGGAAATATCACTCCAGGCTGCAATAAAATAACCTTGAAATGAACCTATAGGGATGTGTCATATCATATTTATATTTTTTACATTAAAAAAAGATTAAGTAAAGAGAAAGAGGGAGAGAAAGAGAGAGAGAGAGAATCGTCTGCATCAACCTTTTATTTAATCTTACATTTTCAAGTTCGTCCTCTGTCCCAGCTGTTGTCTCATTATCGTTATCCGTCATCACGAGTGATCGCTAAATTGTATTCGTTTCTCACGATTATATAAAACAAGATCTATTTCTGAAATATAAATTCAACCGCTCGAAAAATTCAGACATTAAATATAAAAATCTTTTAGAACAAAAAAATATCAAAGATATTCTTCATGTTAATTACATTTTGTTTCGACCTATTGCAATATAGAGTTGAAGTTGCTTTCATAGAATTTTTTAAGTAAATTTCAGAAAGAAGAAAAAGAAAGAAAGGAAAAAAGCAAATTAACAATAATTACAATAAAAGACTTAACTTTTTTTTAATTTTTCTGTAATATAGAGTAGTGTATTATATGTATTATATGACTTTCTTTGTTTAAATTTTCTAACTTACTTATTTAATTAAAAAAAATATTAAATTATTGTATGAAAATAACGAGACACGATGATCTGCTTTCGTTAATAATGTAATTCAGTTTTTTGGGAAGGGGTATGTATATACATAATTTATAATTTGTTTGTGTGCTACAATATACAAATATTAATAATATAATTGAAATAATAATAATAATAATATATATATAAAATAATATATATATAATAATATATATAATATTTTGATGATAATTTAAATTATGTTTATTATAATGAAAAATAATTCTTATATTATTAAAATAATTATTAACTTTTGTTAATATATTGATTATAATTGACTATTATTAAAAATATGACACGACAAGAGCAACGCGACTTAATATTATTATACAGCGGTACTCGATAGTTACTGCCACAACCGAGGGTGACAATATCTATTTATTTTTTTTAGTCGCATTTTTTTGCACTTTCTTTCATTTGCACTTTTGAAAGTCCAAATCTATACTAATTTTTTTTCAAAAGAAAAAAAGTGCACCTCAACTGAACGGACGCATAATTACAGTTTTGGATACATTAAATTATGAGATACAAGCAATGTTAAAAGAAGCAGGTCTCATCCCCTTCTCATTGCGTACAACAAGAAGGAAACATAAAAAAGCGGGGTATATACAAATTAATCTTTTAGAATATTTAAATACAGACGCTTTCTTGTTGCTCGCATGTACATCCAGAAGATTATTTGGAATAACATTACAATAGAACAGTCGGCAATTATCTTACACACTTTTTCCATGACACAAAGGTAATTTCCTTTGATATCTCAGAAACAAGTATATCGGACGAGATGCACACGAATCGCGAATATTAAAAAATATAGAAAAGAAATATTTGTATGTCAGTATATTGTATACATACATTTAAAACGTGGAAGAGAAAAGTCCCGATTCTCCCTAAAGCTCTGTTTTTCATCTATTTTTCTATTGTCCTAAAGATCTAATATATGCTACACGTCATTCGGTGAACACTAGTAGGTCACTGGCCAACTTTATGTCTTTCGCCTACGACGACGTCTTTTGTTCTACGTATTAAATATATGCATTTCTCTCGGAATGGTGACTCCATCCCCACGGTCAGATATTAACTATCTTCAACAACACTCGTGTAACCGGAATTCACAACGACGATCCATAAAAAAAAGTTTCGAGAGACAAGGCGACGTCCCGATGATTAATCAACACCTAAGTTTCATAGCTTCAAAGTCTTTAGAACGTGACTGAACACTTAAGTTTGTCCTTGAGGATCCATTCTACATTTCGCACTGAACACTTAAATTTGTCCTTGAGGATCCGCTCTACATTTTGCACGAATTCTTTTGCTTCCATCGAACCTCAGTTGTAGATCATTTTAAATGGCAACACGTAGAAGGACAATGAATAAAGCATCGATGCGTACCAATGGATGCCCTCTTGCTCTCCTCTCATTGTCGTCAACTCTGTTCTGGACACATCGTTATGTCTTGTCGCAAAGTGTCTTGCGTCGTCCAACCTTTGCAGGAAAAAGGATGTCACGCTGTGCCAAATCCTTAGCGGTAGGAAGGAGTAATGTGCTAGCGACTGACTGTTGACGATGGCATAGCAGGATGCTACGACGTCGTCTACGAGGAGATTACCCTCCATCGTAAGCGGAGCGTAAACTCCTTCCTCGATGACCAATTTCGTCTCGTTGACACTGTCCCATCGCAAATGACTATCCACCTCGTTCGCCGTGCTCGCTGCATCGGCGTCGCTCACGAGGATCTTGTCGCCGGGTTGCACGTTGGCGGCAAACACCGAACCACCCTCCACCGGCACCAAGTGCGCTGGCGTTAACGTGAGCACTCGGCCAGACTTGGTCGTCAATCGGATGAACTGTCTCCTCTCGGATGGAGAACGATCCAAGAAAGCGATCACCTCGCTGTACACCACGTCGCCACGGGAGTCCACAGCGGCGATACGGTCGCCGAGACGCACATCGTCCAACCTCTTCGTACTACCGTCCTCCGTTCGGACCAGACTCCTCCCGGGAAAGCAACCACCAGATTTGCCCGCTGAAGATGATTCTGAAAACGAACGTGCATAGAGAGTTAAGTAGTGAAATAAATAAGAAGAAAGAATATTAAAAGAATGAATATTAAAATTAAAACGTTGATATCCTTTCTAAGTACGCGTTCTACAAAACTGAACAAAGCTAAACAAAATTATTATAAAATCCTATTCCAAGGAAAATTACGATAAAACTACAGATGTAGAAGAATAATTTATAAAAATATACATTAAGAAAAATTGAATATCTTTTAATGTAATTTTTTGGGATGCATTATGAAAACGAAAATGCTAAGATTACGGTGCAAAAAAAATGTGTCATCGCAACGTTCTTGCAATCGTCTATCGATTAATTAACGTGATTACGATGATATAAGATGAAAATTGACGGAGCGTTAAACACGTATGGGTCGCGTTCACACTTTTTGTTGCACTTTGGCTTCCCTTCACCCTATTGTTTCCCTTTTCGGTCCCCTCAACATCGACTCGTATCGGTTTCGCGCCAATTTCTATGCTCGGTTTTAATTCGGATCGACAGGCACGCCTTGATTTATTGGCATTTATTTTGAAATTCGAGAGCCAACCGTGGCCTGGAACGAACACGAATCGTTGATTGCTCTTGTATAGGTAAATATTGTTAGATCGAAAAAGAAAGTAAATATGCGAGAAGATTCTCATAATTAAGAATTATTTCACTCTGAGGAATAATTCTCGTTTCTTGAAACATAAAAAAGGTCTTAAAAGTATTTTTTTTTTAATATTATATTATATTATAACGCGATGCTATGATATAATTAAATTAGAAGCTCTATAACAGAATTTGACCACGAGATGACCAATTTTTGATTCGTGTCGTTTTTGTCAACTTTAGTAAGTTAGAATGAGATTATAGCATGTATAAAAAGAGACATTATATATATCCATTTTCCTCATTCTTGTTTTGACAAAATTGCTCGTGGCCAGATTCTCTTACAGGATCTCTAATGTAAATATACTGCAAGAGCCATCTTTTGGTGTATTTAGGAATTTCTTCCATTGTCTTATTGTTTAGCTGTTTAGCATATATGATAGAAATGTAATAATTCTTTTCATAATCTGTTTGAGATTTATAATTTCTTTTTTTTTTGTAGATTGTTTTTCATTAACGAAGCAACAAAGGAAATTAATGAATTGTATTGCTTTTTACTTATGTTATTTGAAAGTTTTTAAAAAATTTTGGTGATTCGTTTCGATCGAATCGAATTGAATTCGATTTAAAGTTAAATAACATTCACGTAATGAATTACTTTAGAAAAATGTAATAAAATTTCTGAAATGTAAAAGTACCCGAGACATTTCGGATAAAAATATTCAAATTGTTTAATTAATCGATTATCTGAACTTGAATTGAATTTGATAAAAATAATCGGATTTAATCTGAGTTAGCGAGTATTCGAATTAATATTACGGCGCATCGCATAAATGTTCAATAAATGAGACAAGAATAAAGAGTCGGTAAAATAGACATCTTTAAAAATTACGAATAAAGTAGTGGCGTCAATTTTCACGAAAGAATAGACAAACACACGATATTCATTTAACTATTATAATTAGATGTTTGTTAAAAAAATAAATCTAATTTGTGTATTCCAAATACAATGATCCTATAGTTATTATAAGGTACATTATAGGAAGACGTTATTAGCGATATTTGTATCATTTTGTCTTCATTGTTTACTAAACAATAAAACAAAGATAGAACACATAATAATTATCAATGTTAAACGATTTTATGTCGCTATATAGGTAATACGTGCACTTAAGGCGCCAAGTAACTTTGTCATTCGCGATTTAAGAACAGCGCGATTTTAGTATCCTTGTTCCATTAAACGATGTTATTATACAACTGCACCGACCTCAGCATCTTTATTGCATAAAACGACATCATTACAACTACTGTCCGGTAGTTTATTCGCTCATCTTTATTGACATGGCGTTTATGCGGGTATTAACGCGAAATGACCGCAATTAAAATCCACATGAGGTCCGCGGATTGACCGCTTTTAACGCTCTCGCTCTCTCCGAAGCGACAAGACAATTCGATCGCAATTCGCACATTCTTTTGCACTCATTTGGTAATACGTTTCAAGCGATATGATGGAAATTACTAACCAGACTTGACAGAGCAATGTATGTGCGACCTGGACTCATAGTAGACCCAGTCGAAACCAGCCTCAACAGCGAGTCTCGCCAGCATCCCGTACTTGGAGCGATCGCGATCGCTCGTCGTCACGTCGACGGCACGTCCCTCGTAGTGCAGGGAATCTGTCGCATGCATGCCTTCCTCGTCCCAACCCTCGACAACTCGCAGTTTCACTCCGGGCCACTGGTTCATCACCGAGATCGCCAAAGTGTTAAGTTTCTCCTTGCACCTCTGTAATATTACATTTCAAGATTGGTAACAGATCGGTAAACTGTCATTATTCTAAGGACAGAAACAACAAAATCATTTTTTTGTTAATGTACGTGTATATGACTTAAGTTAATCTTGAAAATTTAATAACAGGATTTATAATGCATTTGATTGTTTAGACAATATGGTGGACATGAACCTAAGGAGAACAAGAAAATCAAAATAATGTCAATTTGACGTCATATTGACGAATTGTGTCATTTTTTGGTTATGATAAAAATCTCGATCTTATATGATCTAAGAATGATTTTATATATATATATATATATACTGAGAAAAAAATATAGTCAATTTAAATATATATTTAGTTCGATACTGCCAACTAAACATTTACTTACAGTAAATAAATTTGTTCAGTAAAAAAATTGATTGTTAAATCAAATTAACATTTCTTGTATCAAATAAATATATCTTTATATTTAATAAATCTTTAGTTGGCAGTATTCAACTAAATATTTATTAAAATTGACTATATTTTTTTTCAGTGTATATATAAAGTTTATATATAAAGTCATTCTTAGATCATATGAGATCGAGATTTTTATCATAACCAAAAAATGACACAAATTCGTCAATATGACGTCAAATTGACATTATTTTGATTTTTTTGTTCCCCTTGGGAAGAAACACTATATCATCTAAGTTTATTTGAATGCTAGAAGCTCACAAAATCTGACATGTTGAAATGTATTTTTAGGGATTTAAAGTATTGCTCTAGACTCTGTATTTACATATTTCTCCTAGCCTACTTTCAGAAGACTTTTTCTAGTATTATTTAGAATTCAGGTTAAGTATACATTCGGAAATTTAAGATTAGAGCTGGTTTTCGTTTTCCTCAGCGAGAAACTCTTTCATCTCAAACCACTTTTCCGGTTAGTTCCACTTAATACGATTTCCGTCACATTTGAAAACATCGTGCAGGACGGTCCGCCTTGGCTCGGTCAAAACCCGAGAATTCAGCCGATTTCATGGTGCACGCGGAAAAAGGGGGTCTTCCTCGTGACCAGTGGCGTCAGGTACAGAGCAATCGTTCCGTCGCGAGAATCGCCGGTTAGGAAAACGAATGCGTATTTTGACCGGTTATAGGATCGGTCCGGGATCTTTAAGAGACTTTAACGGACTCAGATCCGTGGCGAATCAACGGGCAAACAGGAATATAAATACGGCCGATGTCGAGGATCATTCAGTCACGCCGAGCTGCTTCCCTCTTCTTGCCTCGAATCACTT